ATGTTTTCTATACCAAACTGGGATTACTAGATATATGTTAGAAGTGAACTTAAAGAAATTTATCTGTGCAAATTTAGTAATATCATCTTGAGGCAATTTTTTATTTACTGCAACTCAGACAAAATGATGTGTTGGATATTCAAATCAATTAAACCATGGTGTATATTCTTCTTGGCCTCGTATGCTTGCTGGATAGCATTCTTTCATATCAATATATACAATATTATTAATGTAATAACTGGATGCATTTCAGCATCTACTATGTCTATGCTCAATACAAGCTTGTCTTATAATATCATTTATTTTTTTAGATATTGGACGCCATTCATTGATTTTATTGACAAGTCAACTTCTAGCATAGTTTGTACCAAATACCTGTTCTACTAAATCAACCACTTTAAGAGACTCTGAAAGAATTGATTTCTTTTCCTTATTGATTATTTCTTTTTGAAATTGCTAATCTATTGTATCATTAACCAATTGTTTGCATACTTTTATAATTTCTGTATACTTTTTCTATATTCTAAATATATGACTATCTTCTAGAACAAATTGGAATATTCTTTAATTCTCACTCTTTACTCCTATAAGCCAGATAGCTTGAGAACCTTAAAGAGTATTGTTAATAGCTTTCCAAGTATCACTCTTATAATATTCGACTATTCAGTTTTTTGAAAAATGTTGGTTTTGAGAGAATACATGGCCATTATGAACTACTATCTCTATTTCTTCATACTTACCTGATCAATATTTTTTGCTATTAAAGATAGTACTATGAGTAATATCCAGTAATGTAATTAGTCATTTGAGATTTTTTTTTAACTCTGCTACATCTTGTATTCGAGTATCTAGAATGTGTATTTTTTTCTCCCAATCATTTATTTTTTGCCAACAAATTTCTGTGAGTCTATGTCCTCTTTTGACTTGATCAAAATGCTCTATTACTTATTCAGCTACACAGTTAAGTGCTCCATCTTTTATAGATATTAATCAATTGATATTTGGTTTTTAGATTCAATATAATCTATAGACTACTGTATTGCTATCAAGTCTTCCTACTTCAGATTGCTCACTGACTTCTCTGATCAGAAATTTTTCATCTATTTCTACCAAAAATCCTGGTTTTGTTTTCTTTGTAAGTATAACATTTGGACCACCTCTGATGTATTTTTTACTTGCTTTTTTTGATTTACAAATAGGCTCATATTTATCAATAATTTTAAAAGTGATCTTTATTTAAGATTCATCTTCATATACAGAATCATTTTGAATGAATTTTACCCTTATTAAGAACTCACCATTATTAATCACATTTAAAATTTTTTGGGCTTACTTTTCAGTCATTCCAGCTTCATAATTTTGGATTCTATTTCTGCAAACCAGGTTGAGAAAGCAT